GTTTGTAATGGAAATACTTTTATTGAAGCTCTTCCATATTCAGGATTTCACATTTTGAGGTAATGGATGATTTGTTATGTGTTTTCATGGCCTTGGATGTTTCTTTTATTATACTCCATATTTATGTTTAGTGAAAGTCTGGAGAACCATTTGTACAATGAAGAATGAACTTTGAGTTGACAAGAGAGACTGCAATGTTTTAGGTCTGTTAATATTTTGCTAATGTTTTGCAACATTTCACATGGCATTGGATACCTTCATGATGGGGCCCTGCCATATGTGATAAATCAAGATTTGAGGTCAGTTAATATTTTGCTAGATCATGTAATGAGATCAAAGCATGTTGATTTTGGGTTGTCAAAGGAAAATGTATATGATGGAAGTAATTCCGGTCTTAAAGGCACATGTGGCTGCATTGATCTTGTGTATTTATCAACAAACAAGTTCACAACCGAGAAAGATGCTCACTGAAAGTCTTCCATCTTACCTGTTCCCTTTTCTCCATTTCCAGATTTTTGTATATTGCAAGTTCAGCTCCTATACAATGAAGGAAAAATGTAATAACTCCAATATTTTATTACCAACAACAAGAGTAAATCAGTGTATTAACAAAAAACGAACTTCCAGCAGTGCATTACATTTGATTACCATAGAGTAGTTTACTTCTACATGTTACAATGCATATACTACATCTTTTGGTAGAAGTCACCTCTTACAAATATTACTATGTTACTTCTAACTTGTTGCTAGGCAGTGAAGAGTGTATGCTATTATAGCAACTACGAAACAATACTTGATACATTTAAGTTGGTACACAACATCATCAAAATTGCTATTATCTTCTCGGCGGCTAACGTCACTTGATTTTTGCACCAATTTCCTTGTAGTACAATTGGTGCTTGAGTCATGAGAAATTTGGCATAAGCTATCCCGCCATATGAACATGCCACAACATCCACACTTGAAATACCAACGCCCCTTGTTCACACGGACATCGTTTCCTTCAATTGCATTAGACCACAATGACATGGGCAAATATGTCACGCCCCGGACCTACCGGACACGTCAACAACCCGCCGTATAGTACGAATAGTCAACCGCAGTCCAACACATCCATACTATACAAGGCGTCTTGAATACCATTCACACATAGTACATCCATAAACAAACATAATGTAAAATATTCATTTAAAGCAACGGAAACATTCAATACAAGTATTTATGCCACACTTTGGCAAACATGGGCATACAAGGCCCCAAACAATTATTCAAAAATAATATCCATGAGCATTAATTTAAATGTTTTAAAACGGAAGCGGAGGAAGCACGGACCACATCTTCCTTCCTTGATTCTGTTAGGTCCCTGTTTTCTAGTCTATAAAATGTATGTATGGAAGATAGATCTGGGAATGAAGCTTTCCATTGATGTGATGAAGAAGTTTACAGAATGATATGAATGTTAGCGTAAAACTTCTATCACAGATTTAGGCACTGCGGCACTAGGAATGTTACGAAAAGCTTAACCTAGCCTTTCCCTTAAGGCATATATATAGCCTGACGGGAAAGGTAGGTTTTACAATCATTTGGGCTCCTTTTCCTAGGAGGCCCATACCTAAAAAGGTATAAAACCTTTATTACAAAATTGCCTTAAAAGGCCTATTCATTATTCTAGCTAACTATAAACTAGCAAAGTAACATTGATCACAATTATAATGAAAATATCTCTAACAATCTCCCCCTTTGTGATCAGATGTTCTTGCTTCTTCTGTTCTTCACTTCTGAGCTTTAAAATAATGCTTTCTAAGATTTAGTGCATGCTCGTAATTTCTGAGAGACCTTCTTCTGTCTAGTTGTTTCTCGATGGCTTTCAAGATTTTATTGACTCTTTCCAATTCTTTGATTTCTTCCTTCGAGGCTTCATTCTGTCTTTTATCTAGCTCTTCTTTCCTTGGCTGGAGCTGTTCTCGGATGATTTGCAGGGTCCCATCACAGTATTTTTGAATGTCTTCAACAATCATCAGACGCTTCTCTTCTTTGTGATTCAGATAAATGACTGAGATGGGCTTGTCAAATGTATCATATGCTGCAAAGGTTTCAAGCCCAGGTCTATCCAAGTCCGGTCGTGTAAGATTCGCCTTTGAATAATTGTGCTCAAGAGTCATCTGGAGATCATGGGAGGCGTAGAACCGAACTTGTCTTGTCATGAATCTCTTAATGGCCTCAAAACCTTCTCTAGCAAGTCTGTCTTTGTGCACTGGGAGTTCCCTGCATCTCATGAACATTTGATAAATATCATCCATGTGCAGTAGGAAGAAGTCATTCTCTTGACAGGTGAACTCCGAGCCATCGGTACGTCGTAGACGAAAGATCAGGAACTTAATCGTTTCCAAGTAGTCTTCTGTGATATCCAGGATTTTCGATATAGGACATCCACTTGTTGCGAGATTATGATTTAGAACTTGTCTTCTTTCCCCTGTGGATCTGTGTCCTAGCATATACAGGTTACCTCCTCGGTATTTTCCTTTCAAGTGATTGATTCCTCGCATCTTTAATTCACTGAACTTCTTGATTTTTTCAGGTTGTCGCCAGATTTTCTCTCGGATTTCTTCTAGGAAGGGGGCTTTGATTCTAACAATTTCCCATTTTTCTTTGACTGGTTCTGGTGCCTTGGGATTTTCTTTATGATTCTCCCCTTCCTTGAGTTCATCTTCATCGAGTCCAATCATTTGTGCATGATATTTGTTGAGGAATTCTCTGAGTTGCCAGCTTCGACACATTTCGTACTGCTCCGCTTCCACTCTAAGATCATCCCACTCTGTCCACTCGCGAGGCCACTGATCATGAACTAGAAGGTCTTCCAGTTCATCTTGTATTTGATTACCAGAGGGCTTAGAGTGAGCTTGTTGTTGTGTCGAAGGCGACCTGTCATGTGAAACACCGGGATCCTCAGGATTGCCCGTTATCATCAGATTAGAACTAGGTTCTTTCTGATGGCCTGAATAGAAAGGTGTACTCGAAGTAGCAACCTCAGGACTTCCACTCCATCCTTGGTCTACATCTATGAAAGATGAGCCTAGGAGTGTTGTTTCTAGCTCGACCGGGCTAGATGTGGGTGAGTTGGCTGTTTGGCTTTTGTGTTGAGTGGATGGTGGGGGCTGATTGTTCGAGGATTCAGGTTGGTTGGATTGCGTAGAGGGTTGGCTAGTTGACGCATCACGCTCAAGTGTCCTTTGTCTCTTGTTCTCCCCCTCATGAGGATCCGAGTCATCGGGGTCCTCATGCGAACGTTTGTGACCGAGGAGACTATCACGGCATGAGCTGTCAGGCTTAAGGATCCGAAGAAGGTCTTTTTGTTTCTGGGTTAGGTTGCCTTCTTCGGTAGCTAGTAGTTGATCTAGCATCAGGGTTTCGAGTACCTCGAACGGTAAAGTTTTAGGGTCAGGAAAAGGTGTGGTCGAAGTAGGGGAGGACACTAGTTCTGTATCCTGGGTTCCCCTTGAAGCAGTAGGTGAGTGGGGTAGGGTTGTGGATGGTTCAGAGGTTTGTTGGGTAGGTATGATAGGAAGTGGTTGGGTTTCTTGGGTATGTGAGGATGTTGGTTGGGGTTGGATGATGTCATTTAGCAACGCCGGGGTGTTCCTGAATTCCTGTGCCCGAGCGGTTATTGCTTCGTGCACCCATGGTTTAATGGTGGAATCCAAGAAACGTTGCAGAATGACGGAAAGGTCGGTAGGGTCAGGGTGTCCGGTTACAGGGGTAGTAACCGTTGTCACAGCATCAGTAAAGATTACCGATGTGTGGCCTGCAGATAATGATGGAGATATCTGTTGAGCAGCAGGACTTCCGATCATCATTGACGTATCTCCGATCGTTGAGGACAAGTAAAGTGCACCTGTCGTGTGCAGTGGTGTGAGCAGTGTATGTGTCCTAGAAAATGTTGAAAATGTTGGGATGGTGGAAACTAGACTCAATGTGCTAGAAGGAGGGGTAGTGGTCTGGGGCGGAAGACCACAAAGTAAATCCTCAGCTGCTTCGTAGGGAGGCAACGAGGTGGGTAAAAGATCCCCTATTTGTGAAACTACTACCTGTTGGGAGGCAGCAGAGTGGCTAGGTGAGGCTTGTGCATGCGCAGTTGGGCTAGATGCTGCGTCTTCTACTCGGAGACTGAAAATATCAGCCTCTGCACCTATGGGGTTAGCCCGGTTTATTGTGTCAAGGTCAGAGCAGCTGTCATACAAGGCTAACTCTTCTGCCAGGTTGCTCACGGTTTGCACTCTTTGCATAGGAGTAGATGATGAGGCAAGATCATGACGCACCTTGGAGCGAGTCTCACTGATGATATTTCCTTGAGTGTCCTTGATTTGGTGAGACTGCTCTTGTGTTGTAGCCCGAGAAAGCCTGATAACGAGTCGTCCTTTCTTAGCGCGGGCTTTCTCGACTTTCTTGCCCTTTGCATTGGCATTGTCGTCGTCCTCATCATCATCATCGCCGTCGTTCCTAGCCTTGCTCCCAGAGCCCTCATCGTCAGCGTCTTGTGTTGTGGCTACGCTTGGCGAATCATGGGTAGTCTCTTCAGCATGGGTGTGGCCCTCAGCAGACATAGTCTGATCATCATGGGGCCGGCTTGCCACTGGTCTCTGTGGCCGGGTTGAACTCTCAGGACCCTCACCTTCTCTCGGCTGACTCCCCGGGGTAGGCTCAGGGGGGTTTATCTGAGCCATAGGGAGTATGATGTTGTTCTCCTCGCTGTAGCGTATAACGTGTGGATCATTGCGTCCGGCTAGCAGGAGGAGAGGGACTGGAATAGGTAATGGTACCAGTGAGCGTACCTCTGGCATTCTCTTCAGATATTGTAGGGCTGGAGTGCTGACATTCTCAGATGTTTTGCGTCTTTGAATTGTTGGAATTGTTCTGCAGAAGTGTCGCACCAGCAGTGAAAACCATCTCATGTATGGTAGATGTTTGATCAGATCAGTTTCAAACTTCCTTCTTCGCATTTCCAGAATGTCACCCCAGATTAGTGAGGTGAAGTCGTAGTTCTTCATGAAAGCGATGCCGTGGAAGATGTAAACGAGGTAACCGCTGCATTTGTCGAAGCCGCTATGCTTGGATGTGCAGCACTTGTTCAGTGTAGCCATAAGTGTCCTCCATGGTCGTGGAAATCGTGCTGTCTTGATCGCGGACATCAACCGGAGAGGTTCAGCGTGGCCTAGTGTGATCATGTCCTCAAAGATTTGCGCTTCTGAAGCCAATGCATCATAATGTTCCTCCTCCGGGATCTGTAGCACTTGTTGGACGAGCTCTTTCGTGATTGTGACTCTGGTGTTGCAAATTGTGGCAGCTAGTACATCATCGAGTTGCCTGCCATTTGCATCCACGTCCTTGTCAAGTGTACCCCAGAATTGTTGGAGATACACCTGAGGGACCTCAGCGTTCTTGCTCAGTGCCTTCCACAGCTTGTGGCCTTTGAGAATTGAGACGACCACGTCATCTTGGCATGAGAACACCTCAGGGTCCAACTGTGAGTTGTTTTCCTTGATTGGGATCCATTGTTCCCTAGCGAAGATCATGTTGATTGGAGTGTTGGCAGCCATTTCAGTCTGAAAATGATAAACAGATTAGAGCATATGATCAAAAATGGCTAAGTCCACAATTTATTTCTCACTTGGGCCCTTGATTAATTTTTTTTTTTTTTTTAGGTGAATGTTTCGGGCCCAACGGATATTGGTCACATTTTATCTGAGATGGGCCTGGACTTAAGTAGTTTTTGGCCCAATATAATAAATTTCTGCTAAGGATTTGAATCTTGGGCTGACTTGGGCCTGTTTGGTCTCACTTAATCGCTCATAGAGTATCACACCGGGGTAATCGCGCAAGGCCTATGATCGCGCAAGAGGGGAAATCGCGTAGGCCGGTAATCGCGCAACAGGCCAAGATCGCGCAGCCTCCTCAGTTCGCGCAAGCCGGGTTGGATCGCGCAGCCCGAGCGAATCGCGCAAGGGCTCTAAACGCGCAGGCATTGAGGATCGCGCAAGTCCTCGAATCGCGCAGGCGTTGAGGATCGCGCAAGTCCTCTTAGTTTGCCCAAGCCAGGCGAATCGCGCAAACCAGGCGAATCGCGCAAGCCAGGCGAATCGCGCAAGCCAGGCGAATCGCGCAATGATTTCGCACATCAGTCCTTTTCATCTTCTTCGTGAGGTACCTGTGAAATCAGTCAAAGATATACAAAGATGGATGTTTTTACCGAGTGGAGAGGATCAAGATCTTGAGGGAGAGGGGAGCTCGAGATTTGTTCTGAGGGAGGTCTAACGTTTCGCGCAAGAGAAAGAAATGGGAAGGGGGTTGCGCGTTTCACTTGTTTAAATAGGCCCGGGAGATTTTTCAAAATGCAACGGGCCCAACTCAGTCTGATTTCAGTTTAAAATTGCTCCCCCTCAACACTTGCTTTCTTTTCAGAATTAAAATTTTAGCAAACTCCTCCTCAAATTTTATACAATTTAGAAATACTCCCCCTCAATCAGATGAACGGATTTTGAAAAGCTCCCCCTCAATTTATGCAAATAAATAAAAAAGTGATGCAAACAGAGTAATAAAAATATGAGATGCATGCATGAAAATAAAAATGCAAATTTTGAAAAATGTTTTAGAACGAATGAAAATTATGAAAGCACACGCACACACACAATTCAGATGTTACTCAGTCGTTCAAGTTCAACATTCCCAGCTTAGAGATCAGGAAATTGAATCTCTTTTCATCCAGGGCCTTTGTGAAAATATCAGCCAGTTGCAATTCCGTAGACACAAAGTACATGTCCACGGTGCCTTTCTCAACGTGATCCTTGATGAAATGATATCTGAGGTCAATATGCTTCGTCCTTGAATGATGGACAGGATTGCACGTGATGGCAATTGCACTTTGAGAGTCGCTGTAGATCGGGATGTGTGAGAATGTGAACCCGTAGTCTTTTAGCTGGGTCCTCATCCATAATATTTGTGAGCAACAGCTAGCAGCCGCGACATATTCTGCCTCAGCTGTAGAAGTGGACACACAATTCTGCTTTTTGGAGGACCAGCATACCAACTTATCACCAAGAAATTGAGCACCGCCAGATGTACTCTTTCTGTCCAGTTTGCAACCCGCGAAATCAGCATCTGAGTATCCAACAAGGTCAAAGCCTGATTCCTTAGGATACCAAAGACCCAGATTGACTGTTCCTTTGAGATATCTCAGTATTCTTCTAACAGCATTCAGATGTGATTCCTTAGGATTGGCTTGAAAGCGGGCGCATAGGCAGGTTGCAAAGACAATGTCTGGTCGGCTAGATGTTAGGTACAGCAAGGAACCAATGATAGCCCGATAATTGGTAGCATCGACTGGTTTCCCGGAGGGGTCAGAGTCGAGCTTCTGTGAGGGAGACATGGGGGTCTTCATCGTCGACTTGCTGTCCATTTTGAAGCGCTTTAGCATATCATGGATGTACTTAGACTGATTTATGAATATTCCGTCTGGCAATTGCTTGATCTGTAGCCCCAGAAAGAAGTTCAACTCTCCCATCATACTCATTTCGAATTTGGTGCGCATCAGGTTGCTGAACTTTTTACAGAAGTTTGGATTCGACGAGGCAAAAATGATGTCGTCAACATAAATTTGTATCAGCATGATGTCACCCTTATGTCTTTTGATGAAGAGAGTTGGATCTATCTTTCCCTTCGAGAAGCCTGAATCAACAAGAAAATCTGATAGTGCTTCGTACCAGGCTCTCGGTGCTTGTTTCAAACCATACAGGGCTTTCCTCAGCTTATATACATGGTTGGGGCGTTCAGGATCAACAAAGCCGTCAGGTTGTGCAACGTATACTTCTTCTTTCAAATCTCCATTCAGAAATGCCGTCTTTACATCCATTTGATATACTGTGAAGCTCTTGTGTGCAGCATATGCTAGAAATAGTCTGATGGCCTCAATCCTTGCCACTGGTGCAAAGGTTTCATCGTAGTCGATTCCTTCTTGTTGATTGTAACCTTTTGCAACCAGGCGGGCCTTGTTTCTCACGATCACACCGTCTTCGTCTTTCTTATTCTTGAATACCCATTTGGTGCCGATAATGGTTTTCTTGTAAGGTCTTGGCACCAGGGTCCACACTTTCAATCTTTCAAACTGGTTCATTTCTTCTTGCATCGCAATCACCCAGTCCGGATCAGCCAATGCGTCAGTCATCTTTGTTGGTTCTTTCTGACTCAGAAAACATGAGTATAAGCATTCATTGACTGATGCCGTTCTGGTTCTGACTCCTTGAGATGGATCTCCAATTATCAGCTCTGGCGGATGTGCCCTTGTCCACTTTCTTTCATGTTGTAGAGGCTGTGGAGTTATGATTGGATGATCAGGGTCAGAATATTCTTGTTCAGGTTGTGCTTCTGGGGTTTCTTGCGTTGCAGCTTCTTCAGGTTGATCATTAACAGGAGAGGTTGGTTCATGTTCAGCTTCATTATCTGTATGCTCATCATCATTCTGAGCAGGAGTGTTGGTTTCTTCAGTAGTTGGAGCCGGTAACAGGGGGTTCTGAGTAGGTGTAGCATTTGTAGTTGGTGGTGCACGTGGTTGACTGTAGAAGTGTTCAAATAGAGAGTCCAGAACCACGTGCTCATCAGGTCTTGTCTCACCTCCCTGCCCTCCTACTCCAGAAGATGATGGAGTTTCATTGTTTGCAGAGGTTGATGGTTCAGAATGAAAATGTTCAGAAGCCAAGTCCGCCATTTCATAGAAGCTCACATTGATGCTCTCCATGACGGTTCTTCTGTCTTTCAAGTATACTCTGTATGCCTTGGAGTTGGTAGAATACCCAATGAATATCCCTTCATTTGCTTTTGGATCAAGCTTCCCCCTAGCATCCCTGTCGTTCATAATGTAGCATTTACAGCCGAAGACGCGGAAGAAGGCAATGTTAGGGAGCCGCTTGAACACGATCTCATAAGGCGTCTTGTCAAATCTCTTGTGGATCACCGTCCTGTTCTGTGTGAAGCAAGCCGTGTTGATAGCTTCCGCCCACATGAAGTGAGGAAGCTTTGACTGTATCAGCATGGTTCTGGCTGCTTCCACCAAGGTTCTGTTCCGTCGTTCTACAACACCGTTCTGCTGTGGTGTCTTAGCTGCAGAGAACTGTTGAGTAATTCCCTGAGCTTCATAGAATTCGGTCAGTTCCTTGTTCTTGAACTCCGTCCCGTTGTCAGTTCTGATGATCTTCACATTCTGCTGTAGATAGTTCTGTATGGTCCTGATGAACGTCATGATTAAGTTTGCAGTTTCGTCCTTGGAGCGCAAAAACTTGGTCCATGTGTACCGTGAGTAGTCATCCACAATTACCAAAGTATATTTGCGTCCACTGATGCTATGCACGCGCATCGGACCACACAGATCCATATGTAGTAGCTCCAGGGGACGAGATGAGGAGGGAAATTGTTTTGACTTGTGTGATGCTCTCCTCATCTTTCCCAAATGACATGCAGAACAGTGATGATTGGGGGAGTTCTTCAGAACAGGCAATCCTTTCACCAACTTCTTCGAGGAGAGGGAACTGATGGCTGGCAGATTCAAGTGTGAGAGACGTCTGTGCCATAGATTACTTTGTTCTTCTGATGCTTTGGACAGGAGACAGATGGATATGGGGGATCGTACCGATTTCAGATCAATGGTGTAGAGATTGGTTTTCCTCTGACACCTTAATAATGGTGTCCCACCCATATCCATCACACAACATTGCCTAGCATGGAATCTCACTTCCATTCCATTATCACAAAATTGTCCAATGCTAAGCAAGTTGTGTTTCAGTCCCTGCACATATGACACGTTTCTGATAGTGACGCTCTCACAAATGACATCTCCTATCCCGAGTATGGGCGATGAAGCATTGTTCCCAAACCTCACATTTCCTCCAAACCTTTCAGAATAGTTGCTCAGTAGTTCAATCTGTCCAGTCATGTGTGACGAGCAACCCGAATCAAGATGCCACACATGACTGACCTGCAAAACAGATTAGTTTCGCTTAGGTACCCATCGCCAGATGGGTCCTTCCTTATCAACAGTGAGCAATTGTTTCAACTTCTTTTTGATTTGGGATCCTAGGCTGGCTGGTTGAGAAGAATTTTTCATTTTTAATTGTTCTGCTTCAGCCTTAGGAACCCATTTTTGTTTTATTTGAACAATTTTTGGAGTGAGGGAACTTTCATTCGTCCTAAGTGATTGTTCAGATAAGTGGTCTTTCAAGATTGGTTCACGTGATAGCCTTCTCAGATGTTTGACTGAGTGAATCTTGAGAGGATACCTTAAAAATGGTAATTTGACCTCACTCTCAACATTCACCCTATCAATCTTGGGCTTGTTCACAATATTATCAACAATCACAGGATCATTTGGTTTGCGAGAAGAAACAGACTCAAAACAACAACATTTCATTAATTTAACACAATCCAGAGAAACACATTTAGTACAGCGATTCGAGACAGAAATCTTAGAACTAGAAGACTTAGGAGCCACTCTCTTAGCATTACTAGTAGATGGCTCACTAATGCTAGAACTAGACTTATTCTTAACATAAAATATGGC